ATCAGAAAATACCACAGAGCATGCAACCCTTTGATTTTTTAATATACTTGTTCCACTTCGAATTATCAATTTTTAATTTAGGAGGTTTCAAGATGAAAAATCAAAATAAGTAAGACATTAAGTCGACAATATATAGCCTGGTCAGAGTGCACGAGTACTGTTGGTAAAGGCTCGTCATTTTCGGTGTCACCAGTATAAGCAGTTAGTAGTCAGCAGTAAGGGATAGTCATATTAAAGTTAAAGCTATCATTTTGGTAAACAAAAGCACGAATAGAAATTGTTTTACATTTAAACAATAGTGTATTTGAATCGTTGGATCTATTTCTTACATTAATTCTTCAATAAATAGCTATTTAAGATGTTTCTAACATTAAGTGAAAAACAGTACCCTTCGTGCTTTCAATTCAATCTAATCCAAATATACACATATTTATATCAGTTAAACGACTTTTAAGGGTTAATTTGCCATTATAATTAAGTAGAACACATTAATAATTTACCGTTTTCAGCTAGATTCTTTGAGTTCAATTTAAATCTGAATGAAATAAAGATACTTTGATTAGCTAGCTGCTAATAGTAATGGTGGTCAATATTAACGATCAAAGATTGTAAATGATATCTGTATTAGTTAGATTATGTTATATAAAGGATATAACCTTACCATGTAACTAGGCAATATTACATAAAAAGAAAACTTTATATCATCAAACGAAAGGATTGCAATTTAAACATTTTATTAAAATACTTATTTAATCTTTAATGAAAGACAGTGATTCTAAACATTCATTTTTATATTCATAGCTAATATATTTAAGGATTTAATCTAAAATAAAGACCATGACACATTGATTTTTTTCTTTTATCTCTCGCGATAAAGATTGTTGGTCTCTTTGAAGTGGTGTTATTTCTCGTTGGTTCTTTACGAAAACTGGTTCCAACATCTTATGTTCTGAAAAGCGATGTCTTTTAAAGACGTGCTAGAGTGCATGTGCTTTTATTGATGTCCAAGAACGAATAATATATTTTTTCATCAATCCAAATGCACACTTTGTGATTTTGCCTTGTAAAAATGTCACCGAATGTTCAACAATTGATTACAGAAATTAAAGACGGCCTTATCCGTCTTCTCCTTGTTCCCTAAAACAAATTATCCAAAACCCTGCAATGTTCAGATTTACAATATAAACCTAGGGTAGAAATAAACTTTTGTAGTTACAACTTGGTAAATTAATCAGTTAAATCTCATTGCGTTGAACGGTTGTGCACTGGTTAAGATTAAACGGTAAACGTTCGTTTTTACCCCTGGATAAGATGTGAAAAACCCACATTTTCCGAGTTCCGGAAGTAGTAGTTGTCTATGCTTTATGAGGGTCCATCCGCCGGGAACAGTTCAAAACAACTAGGCTGGCAAACAAATCAGTCAATCATAAAATTGAAGTATGTTCCAATTTGATAGAGCGTTCAATCATCATACATGATATTGCTATTATCATAATAATAATCATCATCATCATATTATTTTTATTATCATTATTATTATTATAATCTTTTTGAACTTGTAAATAAATGATTTAAACTGATAAAATACCAATAATCATACTAATGAACAACCTTACAAATCCGGCAAGCTGTACATACAGCTTTTGTTTAATTTATATTTTAAAATATTTCAAGGATTTAACTGCATTTATCATCATCATGCTCATTGTCATCGTCGTCGTCATCATTATTCTAATAATCACCATTATTATTATCATTTTTCCGAGATTTAAATAATGTTAAAATGCCGATGAATCATACTGATTAATAAACCCGATAAAATCAGTTAGATGTACAGCTTTTGTCTAGATATTCCACAGATTGCTCATTTGACTTTTTCTCAAACGCCATCATCATCATCATCATCGTCATCATCATAATCATCATTATTACTATCATTATTATTATTATTATTATTATCGTCATCATTATCATCATCATTATTATTATTATTATTATTATTATTATCGTCATCATTATCATCATCATCATCATTATTATTATTATTATTATTATTATTATTATTATTATTATTATTATTATTATTATTATTATTATCGTCATCATCATCTTAATCTCTGTTCTTATCATCATCGTCCCAAACTTAAAAATAATTAGTTTGAATAATTATAAAACACCGATAAACATACTGATTTACAACCCGATTTTTAAAGCGGTTAGATGTACATCTTTTGTTGAACCTATGTTTTAAAAAATATATCACGGATTGCTAATCTACCTTTTATTGAAGGATGACCCTTACTACAATAGCATATTAAATTTAAATCAGATTTAATCAAATAGTTAACAATAGAGCATATTTTATGTTTATTGAATTAAGTAGAAAAAAGATAAATACGGTGCTTGTGTAAATATTTGTGTTTAGGTTTTAGAGATCATTCATAAACAGCTGCATTGTAATTATTGTGAACAACATCAAAATGTGAAAAGGAAAACACTTTTATCAATTTAAATTCAATTTTAACACTTTATCTGCTCAAATGACAGTGAATGGTGATATTCATATTTACAGTCTCTTCAAAAGGGACTGGGATATTGTGAATTGGATTATCTATTGACGAACAACCATTGGTGTCAAATCATGTATTATTAATATGTGTTTAAGTCAAAATTACCTACTCCTGTTTGTACACAGATAGTTTTCAAAATTGTCAACAAGTACTTTTAAATTTCTAAAGAATAAGGGCATGTGAACTTGAACGTTTACGAAGTTTTGATATTTGTAATGTTACTTTAATGTTTATTCTGACTGACGATATAGATAATCATAACAACAGGGTTTGGTACAATTTGTAAATGGCAGTTACTGGTTTGATTGTCATTACCGTCATACCCCGGTCACATATTCACGGAATACGCCCACGGAAGAGCCACGGATTAATTCCGGCATCGTCCGTAGCTACCCGTACTGGTCAGTAGCTCTCCGTAATGTAACCGTAATCAATCGTAGTAGTCCTTGTATATCCGTAGCGATCCTTGACAATTTTTGAACATGCACAAAAATTTGCTACGGAAAAATCAACCGTAGCGTATCCCTGCTAGTCCGTATTAAACCGTACTGATACGTACTGGTCCGTACGAAAACCGTACTAGTCCGTTCTGATTCGTAGTCCACCAACATGTCAAGGATTTCCACGGTTTAGTACGGAGAACTACGTATTTGTACGGTTACCCTACGTATAAACTACGGTTTTAATACGGATTAATACGGCATTGTCACGGAAAGCAACGATCGTAATACGTTGTACTACGGAGAGGCAGGGATTAGCACGGTTTTATACGGTTTATTGCGTTGCAACACGAAACGGTACGGAATGGTACGGTCCACCATGGTTTAGTACGGATGAATTAAGTATCATGTATTTTTTCAAGGGTATTAATACTACCTTCTTGTTAAAAACAGACATATTTGCCGGAACATTCAATATTGATAATTGCCATTTACTGGCTGCAACTTTATATTGAAATTACTCAGATTGCGGGGGCAGTAGTCGAGCTGCTTGATGACATGCATAGAGGTAAAATATATTAATATCGTACTACAATTCATAAGTAATAGAATAACATTTAATGTTACATATTTTACAAACATTGGATCGTGAAATTTGAGTAAATATGTACATAAAACAAAGTGTCTCATAAGCCTCGGACGCTGGCCCTTGGGTGATTATAAGATTAATTAACAAGCTTTTTACATATTCTTGAAACATAAACATTCACGATAATTAATGTAATTGTAAAATGAACAGCAAATTTTAAAATTAATAGAGAAGCAGTATTGATCAACATTTTTCATTAATGCTTATCAGTCCATATCTAATCAGGTAAGAGAAGACAGACGAGATGGTGGACTAGAGATGGGCTTTTACGAAGACCACTACATGTTAAGTATGAGGCTCTCATGGCCGAACTTGTTGAGGATCCAGCGTCCTTCAAGAAATGCACTTTAATCGGGCCTGATGTGTCTCGGGGGTCGAACGCGGTTAGGCCGAATCCTCTATGCCAAAATCATTGAACTCTACAATTCGTTTTCTATGTGTTCTTTTTCTTGTAAGGCATTTTGAAAATGAGCATGCAAGAGGTTGTGGAGGGATGTATAAGGTCCGTATAGATCCGTGGCAATTCGTTCTTCTCCGTATCAATTCGTTCTTCTCCGTATCAGACCGTACTTATTCGTACTAACCCGTGCTTATACCGTAGCAGACCGTAGTGTATCCGTAGTGCGTCCGTCCTGATTCGTGTCGCTCCGTATCAAACCGTGTCTGTCCGTAACAGTCCGTGTCTCTCCGGGGGCTTTTGGTGGTAAATCCCTCGGACTCCGTACTCATACCGTTGTGTGTCCGTACTGTAACCGTAGCGGACAACGGAATTTCACATTTCCGTAGTAATCCGTGAACGATTAGACCGTAGCTCTTCCGTGGCATTATCCGTGAATATGTGACCGGGGCATTATGTACAGGAGAGATTATACTGTGTCCAATGAACATTCTTAACTAAACCGATTATATCTTCCTTTCCTCTTTATTGCTGTTGAGTAATCTCCCCTTTTATAGAGGCTTTATTCATATGACAAGAGCAGTATATCTTTCATATTTTCATTAAGTTTGTATGATAAGAGCCGAATATCTTTCTTTATACTTGAGTCTCTGCCGATTAAAGAAAAAGAAATAGTTAATTTTAAAGCTGTTTCTAACTTCTTTTCGCTATTTTACAAAATTAAAAATTAATGTCAGATTAAACCGAAAAACAACATCTGGAAAAAAGAACTGATTCCGAAAATGTCATTTATGGTTTTATTTAATTGGAAAAAAACTAAGACTTAGGAATAACTATTTCAACTATATTGACTGTCTTACAATATATCTTTATATAAGATTTCCTTTCTTTACTTGATTGATAGGAAAAACAAGAGTTCTAGATTTTATCAAACAGACTATCATTATACGTACGTATTAACTAGTATTGACATTAATTCATAAGAGTCAATGAGTATATGTACTTTAATACATTATAAATGGTGGTCATTCAACTGACAACATCGTTTGAAATCATGTTTAATATTCAAAAGATATCCGCATACAGTGCTCAGCATATGGTGTTATATAAAGCTCCTTTCACTCAATTTAAGTCGTTGAAACTCTCATCTGAACTGGAAGCACATTTCAAATCATGATATTAAGAGATTTCATTCAAATATACTTTATGAAGATATGCAGTTGGTGTTAAATGAATTATGTGTTAAAACTCAATATTGACAGTGAAATCTATCGTATGACTTGAAAGTGGAGGAAATAATCTAAGTTAATGTTATAGTTAATTTATAGTTTAATTGTTTCAATAATGAAGTATAGGGGAAGCGGGTTGCTTCCACGTCTCATTATAACAAGGTAGGCATATAGATAACATATTAAGCTCTTTTTCATTGTGTATGATTATTCTGTTCTTCAACTTAGCTATAACATTGATTAAGTCTAGCTTTAGTAATAAAAGTGTTGGAGATTGTAAGACTATTATAACTTGATACGTGTTTGATGTTTTGAAATTGCAAGGTGAGCATCATTTTATTTCGATTTGTATAAAGATGATGTAGTAGTACTTGGTTGATACATTGCAGTTTCATTACACATTTATTAAATAAAGTCTGATTAGCCCATATACTGCTGTAGCTCAGTTTATTGTAATTTGATTAATAAATCTCTTACACCTGAAATAAACTGTTCCAAATTCAAAATATTGTACAAAGTCAGTAGGTTTAAAGTTTTAAAATTATTATTGAAAATACCACTTTTATTGTGGAAAACGAAAAGTCTTTCGTAAATTGTGCAGTGTTTCTAGTCACTGACTAACAGTATGCGAATGACAGTGTGACAATCACGTTTTCAAACATTTTATATTACATCATTATCATGTTTTACATTTTGGGAACATTTACTTGTATGCAACAAGTTTCATCGTACATTTGGTAAAATATGAGCCGCGTCACGACAAAACCAACGTAATGCGTTTGCGACCAGCATGGATCCTGATCATACTACGCGGATCCAGCCTGCGCACGCGCGCAGTCTGATCAGGATCCATGCTGTTTGCTTACCAACTTTATTACAAGTAGAGAAACTGATAGCGAACAGCATGGATCCTGATCAGACTTCGCGGATGCGCAGGCTGGTCTGGATCCATGCTGGTCGCAAACCCATTATGTTGGTTTGTCGTGACGCGGCTCATATTTGCTTAATGCGAATAAGGAATATATTTTTGTCATAGTTTGCCAGTTGGACAGTTTCATTACAATCAAAATGCAATCAAAATCCAAATTAATGCTTTAATAAATACAAACGACTGTACTTTCAAACTCAAATGGATATGTATATATTTAAATAAATAAAACACTAACGCTATATTGGAAAACTCATTGTCTAAATTAATTGAGTTCTTTTTTCTGTTTAGCAAACATACTTCATATATTTCAATTATCAACCCGATTTGGAAAAGTAGAGAGCATATATTTTACTACAAACGGAAGTTAACAAATTACTTGGTAAACATTTGGGAATAAAGCATGAAATGGAACGGAACAGAAGACCAATTGTTTGAAATTTTACACCCTTTACATAAACCTATAACTTTTTGTTCGGTTGGTCATCGACCATTCTAGCAACCTTTGTGTTCCCATTAATCGATCTGAAACTGTCAGATACAAAAACAAAATTAACAGATTTTTAAAATGTTAAATCAATCATAACTCAATGTTAAAAGACTGCATTCAGTCGATTTTAAAACAAAATCAAATGAATTGCAAATGATAGATGGTTCAGTTTTGACGACCAAACATCCGAGCTGTGATGCGCTTGATATATTTATATCTTGTACCGCTGAGGAATGGGAATTAATTTGGATAATAAAATGTCACTATTCTCTTTCAGTGATGTACCCGAGGATGCCAGAAGCTCTACAAGCCATGGGCAAGGGGAGCTTTTAAAGGTACGCCCTTTTCGAACAACACAATAAATGAGCCGTGCCATGACAAAACCAACATAATGGATTTGCGACCAGCATGGATCCAGACCAGCCTGCGCCTCTGCGCAGTCTGATCAGGACCCATTCTGTTCGCTTACAAACCCTATAACAAGTGGAAAAAGTGATAGCGAACAGCATGGATCCTGATCAGACTGCGCTGATGCGCAGACTGGTCTGGATCCATGCTAGTCTCAAACCCATTATGTTGGTTTTGTCGTGACGCGGCTCAAATATATTCCGGCTACAATGCCGTGGCTAATATCATAGAATTTATAATTTTGTTTTGTTAACAGTAGAAACCGTTTTATTTTGATCTCGTTGTTTAAGATGGTGTTCAACAACATTAGCAGAATCATATATTATTCAATAAATTTATTCCGAAGAAGTGTTCACGTACGCATTAATTAAAACTATTCTTTACTTTATTTAAGTGGTAAGAGAGTTTAAACACTTATCATTTATTCCATCTTAAATTCTTAATTAAACATTTTATTGATGAACATTAAAATTTCCAGATTTCCGGACGGACTTGTTGTTTAGATGAACCAATAATCGCTTTTTCAACAATCAATTAAACCCATGTTTGTAGTTTTGATAAACACATACTGTTTTGGTCAAACAGTAATTGGAACTCGTAAAAAAAAGTAAATTCACAAATGTATAAAAATAATTTAAACAAATGATACAGTATGAAATATAAATGGCGCGTTAATGTTTGTATCAAAATACCTAATAGGTCGGGTAATTTGTTAAAGGAACACCATTGAGGCCGAAAGATCTTAAAACATTGAAACTTTTACATAAATCAACTGGTGTAATTTAAACGGAAAAATATACTCAGAATTAGAATGAAAGTAGGGTTTTGTGCTATTTGATTTAATACGTTAAAACGCTTTTTATTTATGCATAAACGAAAGCAAAAATGAATTTCTGCACATGTATATATCTAATATGTATAAAATCTCAATGGAGTTTATTTAAAAGTGATTTATACAATTTTACTTATTTTAAAAACCTGAATTTCATTTTGTAAACGTGCATATATGTTATTTATGTACTAAATTGTTCTTTATGTACCATTTTTCTCCTATTAAAATCAAAAGAAATCTCATCGTCATTTAGATTTGTGATGTGATAAAATCTATTTATGAACGATGAATGAACAGGTATTTTATGTTGATATTTTATATATGAGCCGCGTCACGACAAAACCAACATAATGGGTTTGCGACCAGCATGGATCCAGAACAGCCTGCGCATCCGCGCAGTCTGATCAGGTTCCATGCTGTTCGCTATCAGTTTCTCTACTTGTAATAGAGTTGGTAAGCGAACAGCATGGATCCTGATCAGACTGCGCGGATGCGCAGGCTGGTCTGGATCCATGCTGGTCGCAAACGCACTATGTTGGTTTTGTCGTGACGCGGCTCATATCATTTTATATCACTGCTATTTTGTCAAAGTGCCATTGGATCATGCTATAAATTGTTGATAGCTGACACGAAATTAAAATTTGTATATTATCAAGCTATTTTTATTTGAGTTATAGTTATTATAAATAATGGACTTTTATTAAAACTTTGTCATTTCATAAAAATAAGTCTATTCTTTTATTATTCTGTGGGGGTAATAATCTTTGCCATTTTCGGGTAAAGACTGATGGTACGAACGGTTCTCTTAAACATTCATTTATTCTTTGTTGATCTAAATTAGTTCATTCGTGAAATTTATACTCGAACAATTAGGTTTCTGAACGCAAATACGTGTACCTTTGTATATAATATAGTCTAAAAATATCTATGCATTTTGTGTTAGTATGTCAAACTAGAAAAGCGAACTTTAATACTAGTCATGCAAATTGAATCCATCTTTTCAAATATAGATCTTTAAATAAATATATTTGAATATGTGACATGTTGAACGTCGTGAAAATTCATTACAATTTTATAATACCGTATATATTTGACAAAAAGAACAATCATTGGTAAATTATTAGGGGGCGGATCATTCTATTTCAATTTAATAGAGTATATACCCCCAGGTGATATTAAACGCTGTTGTTAGAGTAGGATATTAATTATCATAACTGTACCTCAGTGAATTTGAAATTCAATAAATCAAAATCCATTTAAGTTTTGTTCGCATATGGTAGTTCATAACTGATTAATGTTTAAAGGTTTTGATACTTGGTTTAAAAAAATCGCACTCTCGCGCAAAGATATAGATTATCAGATATTATAAAGATTTTTGACAGGTTATATGGCACTATTTAAACGGTTGTTTGCAGATATATGGCAAACAAGCGTTAATATACGACAACATAACCTTTATAACTTTTATAATCTTTATAACGAATTTATAATACAGCAATCTTCCCTTTTTCCTTGCTTCATAAATTGTCGGTTGCAGTGTATATAGTTTATATAAAAGTCACGAGCGACGTTACAAACGTGCTGTATTATAAAATTGTGGTCTTAAATAAGCACAGACGCCTATCAAGTTACAAGTATTATAAAATTTTGATAAAAATAAAATTGCACGTTATCAAATTATATAGAAATTATTGAATCATTTCATTTTGTCAATATATATTTTTTCCCAATGCTTTAAATGTTGTTTTATAGGATATTTGAACGTTAAGAAATAATTCATTTATTTACTAAATTGCGGCTGGTAGTAAAATAGAAAAATATAACGCCCCTTTACTCCATTTTTATACTCTCACAACCGCAGGTGTTAAGTTGTAAAATGTTGTTCTCATTCTACATCTTAGTTTTGTTATATTTTCTAGTCATTCGGAATATTTGTTGTAGATTCAATTCTGCTTAAACCGGGGATAGAGGGCGCGAGAGATGTTACATCTTTTAAAATATGTTATAAACGAACTCAAATAAATGTTATCTGCTATTTTTTATTGCTCTAGAGGGATCTTCTATTTCAAAGATTTTGATATCATTAATAAGAGCCGCGTCACGACAAAACCAACATAATGTGTTTGCGACCAGCATGGATCCAGACCAGCCTGTACATTCGCGCAGTCTGATCAGGATCCATGCTGTTCACTTACAGACCCTATAACAAGTAAAGAAACTGATAGCGAACAGCATTGATCCTGATCAGACTGTGCGGATGCGCAGGCTGGTCTGGATCCATGCTGGTCGCAAACCCATTATGTTGGTTTTGTCGTGTCGCGGCTCAATTATTATGTTATATGTATGAATTATTAAAATGCTTAAAGATACATTATGCCTCAGATACGAATAATTGTTTCCTTCTAATGTAAGTTATAAACTATAATGTTCAATAAATAATGGTTTAAGTACATTTTTATTGTTTATCAGAATTGAATCTAAACTTATTTGTCATAAAAGTAGCTAAATGTGAACGGATTTGTACAAATGTATTTTTATTTTCAAATAAAATTCCAAATCATTTATAAAGGCAACAGAAGCTAAAGATGATACCGTTAATTGACCAATGAGTAACTTTTCGGACACTGTAACAGGATACAAAAAATAAAAAGCTTGTATAATATAAAAATATATAAATGAAGATATGTTTGAATAATTGAACTTTAATAAAACCATACTTGAGCAGCCGCTTAATGCAAAAAGAAGAATAGTTTTATTTAAACTTCTGTAACCATGAGTTATCCATATTTCAATTCAAATCAGTTAATCTATAAAAATTGTTTGTTAAATGGATTAGAAGAATAAATCAGTATAAATTGGCATTTTTTTAAAAATAGAATAGTAAAGGAAAGTAAATAATATATAAAATTAAACATTGTTTACATCTACAAATTAAGTAAAGAAAGAAAGTTTATGAGTATATGTTTTAAATGTTGAAATCATTCTAGGAAACTATCGCATAATAGTTCCTTACAATCTTGTTAGTGTAATGAGAAAATTACATTAAATTAAAATATAAAACTGAAACTGCTGTTAATTTTCAAAACTGAGAAATTTATACATGTTTTAATGACATTTCTATTCAAAGGATCTCGGATTCTTGCAGATATCTTATTCCAAATCACATGAACTTTTTTTTTATAACTAAACAACATGCAAAAGGTACAAACTATATGTGAATATGCCCGGAATTACACATTATTATATTTAAAAAATCAACATTCTGTGCGAATCTGATTTTTTAGCTTTGGATCATTTTTCACAAAAAAAAGATAATTGTGAGCGAATGAGCTAAGATTACTAATCATTGGTCCATACGTACATCAAATTCCGAAACAATATTGCCAGTCCCGGCCTCTTCTCAGTTGAGTTCCTGTAAATATGTTTAAACCTTAAATGATTATTGCACTCTTACCGTGTGTCTTTTTCAAAAGTAAAACATGTGTGTACAAACTTGCAGTCCGTGTTAAAGCTGAATAAACTGACCGTATTATTTGATCAAATGTTACGGAAATATCGAGGTACGATTCCGTATCACGGTACGTATCGTCTGAGGCTGTGTCAATATATTGTTGCACCACTTCTTATAAAATGATATGTTACCAGAGCTGTTTGAATGAAACTTGTGACTCCTACTGGGTTCTTAATTTTTTACATATTTTGTTTTCAGATGCGATTGTTACAGACTGATGCGAAATACAGAAGTTTCTTTTTGTACGATCAGATTCGCTCTTTTGAGGACAAAGTTTACCTCTCGTATGCACAGTTTAATGTTGATATACTATACAGAATGTTTTTGTCGCTTACAAAACGCACTGTAGTTGATGTTAGAAAAGTCAAGACCATTGGAAACCTTCGGAAGTGCTTTATGGACCTTAGAAATATCATTCGTTGTAAACGACGTCATCGTCACGTGAAGGTCACAACGGAAGAGGAAAAGCTCGTGAACTACTTCACGTGGTTCTTCCAGTATGTCGACTACCTGCGGAAGCTGCAGGAAAACTTTGTAGAAAGAATTTTCACACCATTGTTTCGTTATTTTTATCTGGTCGGGTATGATCATCCTGACCGTGAAAATACAAATGATTCTGTAATGTCATCTCCCAGTGTACTTTCATTTAGGAGTATAGATAGTGGTTACAGCGACGTCAGTGGTTTAACTTCTACGCTTGGCGAAGGATGCCAAAAGTCTGGAAGCTATTCTGCACGCTCTGGGTTTAATGAAACACAGGAAGCTCGAAAACGACTTGTTACAAAACAAGCACTGGTTTCACTCAGTAAAGAATTTCATGACATTAAAAAACTGTACGATACGTCTGATATCGAAAAACTGGCAAAAAGACTTTCGCATCTAAAAGAGAGAACTGATCATCTCTTAGACCATGAAAACTCTTTAGAACAAGAGCTTTTCAGCCAAGACAGTGAAAGGCCGGTATTTCATTTGAAAATTCCATACTTCGGAAATGAAAAGATCATTCGATTTGTTCCTGACATTCTCCTGAAATTCCAAAAGGCTGCCTGGATATCAAGACGGTGGTTAGAACATGATGACCAGAAAACAAAAGACCTGAATGTAAAGTTGGAAAAACTGACACAGCTAGAAGAAGACATGAACAGGAAACTGTGTGATCTTTCAAAGGAAATACAGTTGAAAGAATTAGAATTAGAGTCAAAAGCTGGCACGCTGAACATTTTGTTGGAAAGGGAGAATAGATCTAATAATATCAGCCAAACGGTCTATGATATGGCAAAAAGAAAGGGGATTTTGACTGATCAAATGGCAGTCTTGAATTCAGAAAGAGGCCAACTCTGCGAAAAAATCACTGCAGCAGTAAATCGCGATGATAAAAAAGCCTACAAACAGTTAAAGGCTTTTTATGATAAGAACAAACTGCAAAGATTTGCAGTAGAACGCCAACTCGCAACACTAAATTATCACATCAATCTAGCTGAGTCCGATATGAACATTGAACTTGATTTAAAAGCTGATGTCATGTACACAACCAATGACGTGCAGGACAAATGTGAAGAACTGGAACATAGGCTTGAGAAGGCGAAGAAAGAGCAGAAAATAATACAAGCAGCTTTGATTCCCATTTCTGAAGACAAGAAGTTTGTCAAAGAACAACTCCAGATGGAGGAGGGTTTACCTGTTGGAGATGACTATCCTGTTCTTCGCGCAGAGTTCATAAACTCAATTGCATTTGATCCAGACCGTGTCGTTGACTTGAATGCAGAATATATTGGAAACAACCCTGTAGGAAATCCTTTATCGTTACTGATAACATCACTTCCTGAAGGTGGACACGTTTCGTCCGTACCAATGAAAATACAGCAAAACCAAACATTGCCAAAGTTAGATAATGCATCTCACTCAATAGGCTCAATGAATTCAGCGGCGTCCTTACACAGGCAGCAGTATACACCGGAACTAATGGCCTCAGAATGGTGACATAGACAGTATGTCTCTGATCAACAAATTAAAAAATGATTGTTCATTGATTTGGCAACAGTTATATCCTTTCTAACTTTGGGCGCTTCTTAATCAATGGCAAAAGTTATCATTTTCATAACCAACGGCACATGTTTTTTCCATACGCATTGCAAACAAATATTTCTACGTTAACGTTATTTCCCATACCAATCAATAAGCATGTTACAAGCACACAGTTCCAACTTTTCTTAAATGTAAAGACATAATATAGTAAAAATAATGATAGAAATAAACAGTTCAAAGCAACTTAATTTCGTGGACTGTGTCTATTTTAATAGCGATGTTTCTTATTTGTTTTAAATGTACTCTTTAGTAACTATTGTATAACGATTTGAACTGACTTGTGACGATGAATTAAGGTGTCAATTATTGTTACAGATGGCACAAGTCGTTCTGTAACGTTTGATGTCTCCAGTTGTATAATTATGAAAAATTGCGAGAACATGAGTCATAAACGGTCCAGTTTAATAAAAAAAAATTTATTCATTGCGTCTTTGAATGTCCCTGATTCAATAAAAGCAATGCGTATGAAAAAGTGTTGTATTCTTGTTAAAATTTAGTGACAAGTGTGAAAATGTCGGAAATCAATGACAACAATTGCATCTAATAAACTTCATTTTCCTGCAAAAGTGATCAACAAATGTGCACGAAGAAGACTAAGTATTCCAAATCTTAATTAAAACAAATTTAGCATTTTCTATGTTACACAACGTATGCATATTGTAAAAAATGTATTGTCAAGAATGCCCGAAACACTTTTGTTTATGCTGAAACAAATAAACAATGTATCAAGATTACATATTTTGATTACCTGTAAAACAACAGTTATGTAAAACAACAGTTATGTGTGCTTTTATCATACTATTTAATGCATTTATTTATATTATCTTAGTAATACATTTATTTATCATTATCATTAAAATTAGTCACCTGCAGATGATAGTTTGTGTTGTGTTGACATCCACACTGAGAACTACCCCCTTCCCTTTAAAAAAAGAAGAAAAAGAAAAAGTCGGTTGTTATTTTTCTATTTCTCACATTGCAAATGTCATATGGCGACTCTCCAGCTTATCTGGTAGACGAAGACTTCGAGTTCTCCTTTGTGCATGATCTTAGGCACCAGAGAGTGCTGAGAATGAACACCGACTATAAGCTGGATAACATGAAAGAATCCAAAGCCATTAACGGGCTTCGAACACCCCCGAAGGACGAGTAAGTTGAAGTCAACCATTCGGTCCCGGAAGACCATATCTCCAGATGAGTTAACAAACAAAATGTTATGAAATTTTCAGTATTTAAACATTCACAATATGTATGAGCCTCTGCATATTTGTAGCAAATTTTTGTGTGATGTTTTAAGAAAATGACAGGAGAAAAAGATTAGGTAAAAGGGACATAACTTTGGAAAAAATATTTTTAGGTTTATCTGCCCTTTTGAAATTACGTTTTATACTGATAGTGAACATGTTCTTTTTTAAGTTTGAAGAGAATAACGTTGATAGTTTTTATGGAAATTTACCTAAACATAAAGGAAAGTCATGGCAAAATATTAGTAAAAACTATATCCCTACATAAAATAAGTTTAACATTATCTGCCCTTTAGAACCTTAAAGTAAATGATACCTTGACAAAAATTTCGTTTAAAGGGGGATGTCTTTACATAAAATAATTTCATGATTATGTAAAATGTATTATTTGTGTATTAAAGTTGTTATACATGTAAATCAGCAAAAGAATATTATTTCTTCGTTTAAACATAACCTACTTTACCTCTTGTAACTCATTTAAACCACTCCCGTGTTTGTAGCCTTGATCTACGACAAACAGCACTGGTGTCCTAGGAGGGGGGGGGGGGGGGGGAGGTAAACGACTGACAGTTCACCAACTAAGTTTTACTTGCTTTACTGTTGCTTTATAAAATATGACTGTCTTATTACTTAAATACACAATAATTTACTCCCTGTGGTTATATATATGATAATGATGTTTAACAACGTAATTTTAGGACTGGTTCGGTACCTTTTGGTGCTCTGCTAACGTGGCTGAGTTGTGTCAAAGGCTGTGGACGTCGCCTTTGCTAGGTAGCCGGTGCTAGGGGGCGTGGACGGTAGTTTGCACTTTACAGTACCGTCCGTGAACAGGTTCATTCAAACCGAGCCTGCAACATTTTCAATTTTGTCGTTTTGGGCTTTCTTTATGGATTCTTATTTTCTCGTATTTTTTTTGCCTTGTTGAGATCTTTGTTATTGTCATTTTGTCGTTCGAAAATTTTTGTGAGCCCTGTCACGTTTTAATACTACTGTAACAATAGTTATAATACTATGTCAAGTTTTTAATTATCGATATCAAAACGATTCATAATAGCACCTAAATATAATAGAAGAAATTCCTAAATATTGACCGCCTCGTATGTAATTCTAGACCGAGGATGGAAAATAAAAAATAAAATCCACCCACCAGCCCCATTATTTTCCAAAATTTGGATGAGAATCTAGTTATTTATTTTCTATTGCCTTATCTTACATATTAAAAAAATCATTTTTGGTTGTATTGTATAAAGTTTTTGTCCAGGGTTCGACTATTTATATTTTAATTCGTAATGTCGGCATCTTGAATACGTCCCGGATTTTATTTCAGGCGTACAAAAATGATCTGCATGATATGCCATTCTATGGGTAATCAGGTAGTATCAAATAACATGAACATGTATGAAAATTGAACTCTCAGTCTTTCAAGTACTTTCTGTCTTTAAATTTCTTCATTTTTAAAAAAAATATTTTCATGTGAACATAATCAAATATGATATTTTTCATTTGTTTTGAGCATCATTTAATGCTTTTAAAATATTCATTTTGTCCTGATGCATTTTTTCTCTCCTCTCTTCCCTTTGTCTTCTTTCCTGCATATTGATGTATTCCTTCATGATGCCTACTACTTGTGAAGGCTGATAATGCAAGTGATTAGCAGAGTTTTTTTCCGGCCCTCAAATCCTTTACGGAAGCTCTTATTCAGCTCAACGATGAGCTTGCTAACTGGTAAAGGGAATGCCCTCTTATATTGTGTGAATGATAACTTTGGTGTCACAGAAATACATCCCAGTAAATAGATAAACAAGAAACAACAAGGGAAAGGCGGCGTTCAAATGAACGCAGCCCCACCCGACCCATATCAAAGGGTCCAGTGGCCAAAGGACGTCCAGGAGGACCCAAACACAAACAGTAAAGGCACAACCGGATTAAGACACAAGACCAATTAATTCTTTTGGAGCAGAACTGAAACTTGTTTTTTTTATTTTGTTTTGGCTTTGTAGCCCCTCATGATAGACTTTCATCTGGAGCAAACTTGCGGTGAGTTCATTTGCAATCTCCTTCCACACAACCTTCCTTTTAATTTTCCCTTTATCAATATTATCTTGGTAATCCTTGTATTTAGAGATCAAAAGCAATGTTTCCTTTTTCTTCCAGAGCTTCAGCCAATATTGAATACAAAAGATCAGTAAATGAGGAATGGCACATGGAAGAAAATTATTTACAAGGTTTTAAATTCAATAAAAAAATATTTACCAATATTAACATTAAAATCATGTATAAAAACTTATTTGTTTTATTTTGTTTGGTATTTAACACTGCTTTCAACATTGTTTCAGTCATATTGCAATAACCAGTTGCCTGAAACACTACAAAAGTTTAATAAAAAAACAAGAATAAAGATCAACAAGGCAAAGGCAACGTTCACAGGACGCGGGCCCCGACACACTCAAGTAGGGCACGCAGAAGGCACCAAACAAAAACCTGGAGTGGATATAAGGGTGAAAGGAGTGGGACATGTAATGTGAAATAATATAAACTAAAACGGGGCAATAAGGGCATTAAAGGGCTTAGGGGGCAGGGGACATATTCGAATGATGGCCCCGGTCAAATTTTTTAATAACTCAGACATGGTGTTTTGAAGGTACTGATAACTTCTGATATTTCTCTGTCATTGTAATTCTTTCTTGTTTGTGTTGTGTAGTAAATGAGATATATTTTTGGGTTTTTACCCGAAACTAAGCATTTTGGTAGCTTTGTATGTATTTCTGACTCTCCGAATGGAGGTGAAAAAGTTAAAAAATCAAAGCTTTGACAGTTGGCGCCAAACAAGTAAGAAATTTCAGATAAATTTTTTGTGAAAAATCTAAACGTATGACAGACACTTTATTTGTTCATTTCTGAAAATGCCATGGCTTGCACTGCGTGTTACTGATATTTTTAAAGGAATCGGCGGGTTCTGGAGTATGCTGCACCTTCATGAAGATTGCCCATATTGTATATTTTAGGTGTGATTTTGGCTGGGTGGGGGTAAATATAAAATTGCTGTCAGTCATTTTTTGAAGGAGCAATGCATACAAACTATTATTTTTTTCAATGTTTGTCATATATCATTGAATAATGCTGTGCAACTGGCTATCTGCCTGTGAAACATATTTTGAAATATTTGGAATTGTGTTTCTGGTCACACTGAAAATACATTTTTTTTTCATTTTTAGGTCCCCTGCCCCTTAAGGAAATTTTCAAATTTATAAAATGTGTTGGAATTGACCCAAATGTGCCCATAAACATTCCTTCTACACTTGTTAGTCAAAATTTGAAGTGACTGGTAGGATTTATTCAAGTTATTTACAGTAAGTAGACTGTCAAGTCAAGGGAGGTAATAAAAATTTGGAATTTTGGCAAACACTGTACTTCACAGAATGTGCACATTTATCCAGATTTAACAGTTTATATTGTGAAAAATTGACATAATAATGCATAATTGAGCACTTTCAATTGTTACAAATATATATAATGTCATATAAGTCAACAGTGGTATCTTTACTGCACTTTAAGGTGTTATGCCAGAATAAATGGGGTCTGGATTGCTGTGAAATTCATTTTGGGACATTAAATGTGGCTGTAATATTGATTTTCTTGCTATAATCTCCTTCCAAAAGACTTTAAATACTCTGAAATACTTTATGGTATTTAAATGAAGATGGAATACAGAAAAATAACCATCTCACAGGTTCCTGGCACTTGATATTAAGTAAATCATATAACAGGCATGGTCATTGTACTAGTTACTTCCCCTGAAATAGGTCTTTTTAAAATATTTGATTAAATACAAAGTAACCGCAGTACACACTTTTCGAAGTTAACGTTTAATGCCGAAATAATCCATATTTTTAAGAAAATAAAAGGAAACGCTTTAATGCGGATCACATAAAAAATCTTAAGGGGGCAGGGACATATTCGAATGATGGCCCGGTCAAATTTTTTTAAATAACTCAGACATGGTGTTTTGAAGGTACTGATAACTTCTGATTTTCTCTGTCATTGTAATTCTTTCTTGTTTGTGTGTAGTAAATGAGATATATTTTTGGGTTTTTACCCGAAACTAAGCATTTTGGTAGCTTTGTATGTATTTCTGACTCTCCGAATGGAGGTGAAAAAGTTAAAAATCAAGCTTTGACAGTTGGCGCCAAAACAAGTAAAAATTTCAGATAAATTTTGTGAAAAATCTAAACGTATGACAGACACTTTATTTGTCATTTCTGAAAATGCCATGGCTTGCACTGCGTGTTACTGATATTTTTAAAGGAATCGGGCGGGTTCTGGAGTATGCTGCACCTTCATGAAGATTGCCCATATTGGTATATTTTAGGTGTGATTTTGGCTGGGTGGGGGTAAATATAAATTGCTGTCAGTCATTTTTTGAAGGAGCAATGCATACAAACTATTATTTTTTCAATGTTTGTCATATATCATTGAATAATGCTGTGCAACTGGTTATCTGCCTGTGAAACATATTTTTGAAATATTTGGAATTGTGTTTCTGGTTACACTGAAATACAATTTTTTTTCATTTTTTAGGTCCCCTGCCCCCTTAGGGCTGTTAGGGTGAAAAGGTGGGGGGGGGG